AATTGTATAAAAATTTCTCCATTTTTCTCGAGAGAAATATATTACCTGAAGTTATGAGAAATAATGAGGATGAATTTACCAAAATTCAATTTCTCGAGGATATGTAATAATCGGTATCCTAAATCAGCAAATCAAAACGAGAAACTTTCTCCTAATCCTGCGTCAGGCATTATTGCGATTATATATAATTCGTCTCTTAAGTGAATATCACAACAAACAATATGAGTAAAATTTAATATGGGGCCACTCTCAATATTCAAAAGGATTTCAGAAAGCGGATGACTGGAGGCGCTGCTTGAGTAATGTTCCTGGTACGCTTCAAATGGTTCTTGCTGAGATTAGTAGATCAACGTTTTCCTAAATTATTCTGTAATGTTTGACAAACTATCAGTACAAATTAGACAACGATTGTTGTTATTTTAAATTCTCTTGGGATAAAAGCTTCTTAAAGCAGCTGCAAAAAAAATAGGTTTATGCAAATCCAATCCACGCAATACCGTTTAAGGAGTGAAAATGAAGAAAAGTGCAATAAACATTGTCAAGTCTTTATCAAGAAAATCTTTATTCATTTTGTTTTACGCTATCAAAGGATCTCTCACAGCGTACGCTTTCAAATTTTCATTTGTGTTCAGTGTTCCGAAGAAAATGTGTGACGTAGTTTCTTCTAAAAATAAATAGTGGTATTGCCCTTTAGGTCAATATCACGAAGTCAACTACATATATGGGAGAAAGGTAAACTAACAGAGCAGTAACTGGTCAAAATATTGACGTTTGAAGGCGCGCAAGCGGAAGTCGGTTACAAAGTTGGTTCGGGCCTTTTGTGCTGAAGGAAAGTATAAAACCGAAAGATATTAGTACTTTCGAGACAGATCCCAGAAGTTCGAACCATCGTACTGGTGAATAGTGGAATTTATTCAGACCAGCGCACAGACGAGGGCTCAAATTCCGGCGAACGCAAACATGATGATGGCAGCTTACCTGGGGAGGAGGGCTAAACTTGGCCGATCACAAGAAGACCAAGAAAATTTACCAGGCACATCAGAAATCATCAAAGCACTGTCCGAGCAACAACTTACGAATCCCGGTGAGGGGAAAGTGCTATATATTCAAGGAATAAAGAACAATGGGAACTGGAGGCCCATGTGTTATGCAAGCCAGAATTTCAGGGCATATTACACTCTGCAGCTCTTTAACGCTCGAGTTAGCTTAACAAAAAAGGCTATCGAGAAAGCAATTGAACAAGAGTATGTCCCTCAACGTTTCTTCAAGAGTGTAAAGACTGTGTTGAGCCTGGGCTGTGGGCCTGGTTCCGATCTCCACGGGTTTAAAACCTTCCTTAGCGAGGCTTTTCCGTTCAGCTCGAGAGGGAAGAAGTCACCACAGTTCATTGGCTACGACAGAGAGCTGGGCTGGATGCACTATGTTCAAAGCTTGGGGTTTGAATTTGAAAGCGTGGAAATAAACAAAACACTTATCAATGACATGGACAAAGTTGACGTGATGTTAATATCTTACAGCGCTAAGGAACTATTTCGTGATTTCAACCGCGAGAAAAACGATGAAACATTCTGGAAGGCAATATCTAAGAAAGCGAAATTTGTACTGGTTATTGATGACGAAAAATGTTTGTATGATGATCTGCCGACGGATGACGAAGACTACGAGTACTTTACCTGGGGTAATGAGCAGGGAGAGACTGAGGCTGTTGTTTACTGTCACTTTACAGCAGAGGGTTAAAAACGTTGAATAATGCAAACAAAAAGCTGGAAATTTCGATTGCAAGCAATATGACAATCATAGAATCGTAGAGTCGATAAGGATACGCTTATATGTTTTTGTGTCTCAATATTTCTCCATATTGTAAATTCATGACTTTATTTATAAAGAATATGAATTGAGATTACAACACGTTTATTATCGAATTATATATTAAAAAACATAAATTGAAATTATAAATCACTCTAATTAACGGTTACCTAGGATATACACCGATAATAGTATCTATTGTTAATCAAGTGGCCTACAACTTTATCGGTGTGAAAATGATGTTATAGAACATCTAAAAATTTTGAAGTATTTTTATTCATCTTATACCCTTAAGTAAATTCCTGCTCTGGTTTACGCGCTATGCCAGAATAAATTCTTTCTAGAAGGCTAGTGTGTACTGGTCGACAACCAGTTCATGAGATGAAAAAAGGTCTAATTGAATTGCTTAAATTTCGTGTTCTGAGGCTAAATGTTTACACTTCTAAATAACTTTGACACTATTATGTCGCTTGATATGATCTCATAGATTTTATCGTACTTAAAAATATAACTTTTGGTATACAAGAGGCACACACTATGCTTTAAAAAACGTGTATGATCATAAGCATTGTGATAATTAAAATATGCGTTTACTGACACGAGCCCTTATGTATGCTCTTCAATTTGATCATCAGTTCCGTTGGAAGTTGTCTAGGATCGATATTAAACACTTACTGTTAAAGCCTTGATGCCAATTAACGTATATTTCCATCGCAAGCGGTCAGTTGTAAAACTGAAATTAAGAGGACTCAGAACTCTTGTTTTGAGTAAATGATCTGCGCAGGGAACCTTTATCAAAATCGATCGGACCCCAATTCTAGCACAACAGCACGTAGAAGAGAGCAATCAGCTGCTATTGAACCCAACTAGATCAAAATCTTAAGTTATTAACGTAATAGTAACATTTAAAATTACCTGAGTGTGAAGATGTGATTTTCTTCTATTTGAATCGTAACTAAGCTTCTCAAAAAGTCTGCACAACTTTCAGTTTCCCCGAAATTTCTATCGCAATTTTTTTCCGAGTAAAACTCATATCGAGAAAATGATTCTCACTTCATGTGACTCAATGTTATTTATGTCTGAAAAAGACCGGCGGAAGCGAACCGCAACCCGCTCCATGCCGCACTACTGTTTTGCCGCGGCAAAAAATGGTGAAAAATAGAAAAACTGTCCTTAATTTTCCAACAGTCTAGACCATCATCACGTCATCCTTACTTATAACGGCCCAAAATGTGTATGTGTTATTCGTCTTTGTGCTAATGACACAGACAAACGGTTTTCAAAACTCAAAAATATTGCAGACTGTTTTCTATACACTTTAGAAAATGCTACTCGTGGGTGTGACTAATATTGTTTGAGTAAGTGTTTGAACTTCTTTAGAACATGCATAAAAAGATTTAAACTCAGACCATAGAGCTTAGATTAAATGCCCGTTAAAATAATTCACTACCAGCCCTGAGGCAGATCCTCTGATGCAGAAGCCTTCTGGTAACTCTTTACACCCTAACATCAGTATGCATATTCTCCATACGGTTCTTGCTACATTATCTTAGGTGCTGATGAGGAAAATTTTTATAATGATCAAAGCCTATTAAGTTGGTGATCATTTCCTTTTCATCAAGTGACGTTAATTTATGATTTGAGGGTGATATTGTTCAGAGAAATGAGATGCTGGTCAGTCTTAGGGGCCTTAACAGTCAATAATTAAAAGCTCCAAGAAAACTCAAATGCAATAACTTTATGCAGAATTTTTCAAAACTTTATTACAACATGTGTGTCAATCAACGTTAATACAAATTCAGTTCCCTTATGATCGCAGAGCATATGCTGTCATATGGTATTGTAACAAGCCTCATCACATAAAACCCTGCAAGTAACAGGCATTGGTTCCAACTGTACTGTGATGGTAACCCTTAAAATCACAGATGTGATTAACATATAAACTCTAACCAATACGTTATCCAGCAAACAGGTACTGAGGAAACTCAAACCTATCAGGTAGATATATATTTTACAAAGACACATTTAGCAGCTAGAGATGGGGGATTGACAATCAAATCTTAGGAGTGATAGGGTTACTTACTAAACATGCCTTTTTTTTTTTCTTAGTTCATGTCATATTTCCCTCTTATAATTTTATATTGGACTCCAGGACAGTCCTGAACTCTGCCTCCCTCAAACAATACCACTGCATGTTCCTGTAACACTGCTCCTTCACCTGGTATATAGGCTGTGATTACTTTTCCATTACTCAATTTTACCAAAGCACACTTCCGGTTGCCAGAGTTTGGTTTCTTAGGTTTTCTTACGAAGACTCTGATACAGACACCTTTCCTTTGCGGACCCAAAAGGATTCGCTTTGATTTTGGAATATGTTTCTTTGGCATATCTGCCTTGGTTCTTACTTTTTTCCAACGGTATTGGTTAACTGTTGCAAAAAGTCTTGTGCTGTTCAACACAAGGTCAGGATAAGGCTTATTTCTTATGGCTGAGAACACAATTGTTGACTGCCTTGCTAGACTTGGTTCTTGCCACAAA